GTAGTCTTTGTGAGCTCAAACAGTTGATAGCATCAAACCAGTTGATGGATTTGGTTCAATTTTTATATGCCGATGCCTAGGGAAAAAGGAGCTCTGTGCAAGATGAAGTGTTTTAGATGGCTGCTATTGTTGTTTAGTGGGATTTGCTAATCCGTGGAGTTGCTGTATTCTAGTTACATCAGAATAAAGTAGTTAGTTCAATCTGAGATAAAGAAAATGAGAGTAGACTTTATTAAGTGATAGACAATAGCTTTGAAATAGAGTAATCCTTAATTAAGAGGAATAGCTGACTGAAGCACTTATACTAGAACATATTTGTCATCCTAATGGACCTTTTCGTGGATTCATTTGCAAGATTAGACCATGCTTTGTTTTTAAAAAAGGTATAAATGGATGAAAGCAACAATTCTATGATTCTAATGGTACATGGTAAATTTGTAATGGTACATGGTATATTTATAATGGTACATGGTATATTTGTAATGGTACATGGTATATTTATAATGGTACATGGTATATTTGTAATGGTACATGGTATATTTATAATGGTACTTGGTATATTTGTAATGGTACATGGTATATTTATAATGGTACATGGTATATTTATAATGGTACATGGTATATTTATAATGGTACTTCGTATATTTGTAATGGTACATGGTATATTTATAATGGTACATGGTATATTTATAATGGTACATGGTATATTTGTAATGGCACATGATATAATTGTAATGGTACATGGTATATTTGTAATGGTAAATGGTATATTTTTAATGGTACTTGGTATATTTATAATGGTACTTGGTATATTTGTAATGGTACATGATATATTTATAATGGTACATGGTATATTTATAATAATACATGGTATATTTATAATGGTACATGGTATATTTGTAATGGTACATGGTATAATTATAATGGTACATGGTATATTTGTAATGGTAAATGGTATATTTGTAATGGTACATGGTATATTTGATATTCAAATGATCGGGAAGCATGTGGCAAATGCTAATAATCTACTACACCCCAGTCATTATTTGAAGTCTGAAATAGGTCTGAAACAATTGTGCAGAGTGTTCCAAAGTAAGTAGAGAAATCCAAGAGGGTTTACTATGAAAATGACATTATCTGAGACAGAGATACTTATCAGAAAAACTTTGTTGAACATTGCATTAAATTAATCATTATATCTTACATGTCTCCGCTAATAGGCCATCTTATTGATTTTCCTACTTTTCAGACACATACAGTAAACTATAGTCAGATATACAGAATAAATATGAGTGTGATAAATGATTGGCTGAATTGGGGATAAAATATTGCATTAGAATTCTTGAGTATGTGTTCATCAACAAATAACCCCAAAATCACCAAATGATTTCTCCACTTTATCATCATATGACTGCAATCCCTGATAAAGGCCTGACATTGCTAATTGCGTGATCAAACACAGTCCATCTGGCTTTATTACAACTACTTGTAAAATCCATTTATCACTTATCTTAAACGTTTTCTAATGTGAATTAATGCAGTTACTTAGTGTTGAAAGGCTTAATAATGGAAGTCCTATGTCCATTATGATCCGGGAGTGGGGGGAGGGGATTATAAGTGGGTTATAATTCATGATATAATGAAGTAATCACAAAAGGTTTTATATTATTATTCATTCGTATTGACAGTAAAAAATGACATGCATATTTTATTTTGAGTTTGTTCATTCATATGGTGTCAGTGAAAAATGACATGCATAACTTATTTGGCCAAATTAATGGCATGGACGCATTCTGATGATCATAGATCTCTCTCTCACTTGCATCCATTACATGGCGTTACCAGAATGGCAGGAACAGGGGATTTTTTTACATTGTGATTCTAAAAAAGGTTATTAAAACACAAAATATATTATGGAACAGTTTATCTTATCTTCTTCAATGTTTTTTATATAGGCAAAATAAAATGAAACATTTTGAAACAGATAAAATAAGTTAACGCATAGAACTTTAAGTATAAAACAGTATACATGTTACGTTGTCAAAGTATTTCGTCGCATTTAATTTCTAAGTCTCTGTCTCTTATCAAATCGTAAAAGAACAAAACATTCTAAACTTAATCACTTGGGAATTATTTTTCGGCATTCGCTTCCGGCATTTGATTTTATGTTCTTCTCCTGAAATGTATTTGCTTGACAATAATCAGAGAAAGTGCGTATACATATAAAGGACGATTCTCGGTTTGGAGAACAGTCTCCTGGGCTAATAATTTTTTTCATGAAAAATATAGAAATATTACCCAAATTAAACTATGAATATTCAAAAGAGGACATTTAAATCTACAAGATGTAAAAATAACAAATTGGTCTGAAGCAGGGATAACGCTCAATTAGACCGATTCAATAAAATACAAGTCTCGATTTGGGGAAAGAAGTTCATCAGTGTACTGTGCAAATATTTTTTGCGACTATTCAAAAGAAGACATTCAAATCTATATTATGTAAAAAAATCAAATTTGTCCGAAGCAGGGATAATGCTCATTTAGATTGATGAACTTCGTTCTCCAAACCGAGAATCGTCCTTTGCGTGGCATATTCTGTCACGCAAACAAATGGGTGTGACTTCAATTTCTTGTCCGTCTGAGGACATCTTGGGAACGAGTTAGAATTAAAGAATTCTTATGAACGAGTCATGCAAGATACTAGAACTAGTAAAGTACTGATCTAAATAAAATATGTTTTAAATCTTTGTGAACACTAGATAACTACATTTAGGCATATTTGGCTATCATGCGTTTAAAATACGTTCCTAAAACTATGATGACGTTAGGTGAGAAATATTGCTATTGTACGTTCGAAAAGTATTTGGTTGTATTTTGTAGTTCTCAAGTTACCCATGAACTTTTATTGGCTAAACATAAAACAATTAATGTCTTGACTTAGCATATTTAGCCTAATTTTGCAATGATGTCAACGTGATTCCAATGTTGTTATGTTGTCGTGATTCGCAGAGGTTGCGACAAGATTCTTTTTAAGAAATGGTATTTTTTAGATAAGATCCCGTAATTTTCGGAGAACTGGGTTTCGGACAACTGGGTTTTGGAGAATTGGGTTTCAGAGAATTGGGTTTCGGACAACTGGGTTTGACCCCGGAGGTAATATGATTAAACACGATTAAACAGAACTATATGCACCATCTTGAGCTAATTTGAGATACATATATTACAAATCTTGAAAGTTATTAAGGTAAAATATGGTTACCCCTGGGCCTTTAGAAGCGATAATGAAAATTTCCAAAGTTTCCAATCATTTTTCAATCTAATTAGGAATAATATGACAAAACAAGACTTAATGCACCATTTTGAGCTCATATGAGACCCATACATTGCATGTCTTAAAAATTATTAAGGTAGAATAAGGTTACCCCTAGGCCGCAAGGGCTTAAAAATTTCGATAATTTTTATCTCAAAAAATACATGAGCTACCCAAGCCATTTATATATTTGTCATGAACACCTATACCCCTATTAGTATGAATTTTTCCAGTATGATCAGACATCACATTCTTGAAATACAGTACTTGATGTCCCATATTTGACCCTTTAAAAGATGAATTCACGCTAGATAATTGGGTCGAAATGTATTTTTCTCACTAAACACCACTTTTACAATCGGTTTGTCTCAATTTCAAGGCTCAAAGCAATCACCAAATGAAGTCATTTAAAAAATTTACTTCAAAACCATTTTTATTTATTTTTTATAATGTACCCCTCCCACCTGATAGGGGTGGGGGTCAGAGACTAAAAAATCCATGAAGACCACCCTGGATCACTTGCCCCGAAATCATTTTCCACTCAGATCAAGTGTTTCTACAACTGTGCCAAGTTTGTTGCTTTCCTGAAAAAGATGAACTATAAAGGGCTCATTTCTGGACATCTGACTGCGCTAAAATGTAGATGTTTAAGAAACACACAGCAGCCATCTTGAAAAATGGCGACCTTTACATATTATTTTTTACTTTTGCTGTAAATTTTAAAGTAATAGAGCGAATTTGCACATATTTGAATATTCATAAGCATGGCACACTGTTTTATGACACTTTGGCTAGAATGCAGCCATTTTGAAAATGGCCGCCATTTTTACATGTGTTATTTTACGTTTTTTTTACTATTACTTCAAAAGTAATAGAGCAATTCTATTCATATTTCTAATGTGCATACTCATAAGTATGGCACACTGTCATATGACACTTTGGCTAGATCACGGCCATTAGTCAAAATGGCCACCATTTACATGTTCATGTGTGCGATTTAGTTCAAATTTTATAGGTGCCTACTAAGAAGCAAATAACACTTTCTTATCACAATTTGGCTAGTTGGCGACCATTTTTGAATATGGTGACCATTTTTACGTGTGTTATTTTGCAATTTTTGCTATAACTGAAAAAGTTAAGTAGAAGGATTTTGTTAAAATTCCAGCCATGGCTGTTCAATTACTCAGATGCTAGTTGGTAGTTACCAGTTTTGCTACCAGGTGGCTGATTCGGGGGAAATAACATGGCAGGGTATTACAAAATTCCCTTAAACTTGAATATTCATCAGTTTTAGTGGTTCACTTTTCATATTATCCTAATGTATCTGATAGTTATACAAATCAAAATATGTCCTGTAAAAGAAAATATTATCTGCCCAACACAAGAAAAGATATTTCCATTTTTGTGATTTTACAACATGGGGGCTATGGGGAATCTCCCCAACCTAGAAGTCACATTTTCAAAGAAAATTAAATTTTTAAGTTGATAAACTCTTTTTAAGATGTAGTTTTACATGAAGATTCCAAATATGACATCAGTTTGACTTAATTTTGAATTTTTAATGACGCAAATCAAGATTATTTCTACTCGCATCTAGGCTATTGGATTTGCTACATTTTGGTGTTCCTGTTTTGTAGTTTATTTAGTAGCTTTTGGAATTTCAATTTATTATTCTTTTTATATTTTTTAGGACAAAGAGCTTAGAAAAGATGTTGGGTCAAGAGAGGTAAAACCTTTCCGTAATAGTTCGTCTGATAGAGATGCATGCTGGGATAGCTGTCATTTTCTGACAAAACTCTGGGTCCAAACAAAAGAGTCGGGAGGTATGTCTTTAACATTGGGATATTTTACTGAGGTTGGAATAATCCAGATCATTGAGTGGGAAAATAAAAGTTTCATATTTCATTAGTTTTCTCTTATACATTCTTTATCCTTAATTAGTTGTTGTCTGTGTGAGTCGTCATTTGCCTTTTCTTCGTGCTTATATTATTTGATACTCTTTTGATTCAATTTCTTTATTTACGTTATCTAAATTAACCTTTTACCTAGTAATGACCAATGATAAAATAGCATTTCAGCAAATAATCATTGCTGAGAAGTTAAAAGGAAAGGACATTTAGTCTGAAATTTTTTGGCAAAATGGTTAATTGTAAAATTACCACTTACACAATGTGTAATTAGAATTCTGACAGTAACAAGCAGTAATTTAAAAATATGTCAAGTTCTATCTCTTTTGTATGACTTTTCATTTCAAATTAAATTGGTTATGGAAAGTGATTAACTAGGCACACTGTATGTAGTAGCAGAATTGATATTGCAAATGGTTGCATGAGGCCATAATGCTTGCAACATATTGAGCAAACAAAGCTACTCATTTTTCAATTATTGCCATAGTTGCATGCTTTAGAAGGTCATAATCTCATGCATGCTAACATTTTACATGGTGCCAAACTAACAGGCCAACCCATGTGGACCCGATGCATTTGTTTGACTTCACTTCTTAAAAGGCAGCTTCATCTATAACTAGCTTGTGGAGGAATATCAGAAAGATGTTTATAAAGCTCAGACTTGTACAGCTAGGTACAACAAGCTCCAAAACCTAAACTAGAATAAAATGTTGATTAAGAATTGAAAATTGTGAAGCATTTCAACGATTTTCTTAGTTACAATAGAAAATGTTTTTTAATAAGCTATTGAGAGGTTAGTTGGTAATATCATGACACTATTCCAAGACAACTAGCAGAACTACCAAGACATGATCAAACACCTGAACTTTTGAGATGCATGTCTCAAACTTTGAGATTAGAGTTTGGACTGGAGCTGACATCTTTAGTTCATGAATCTAAAAGCCATCTTAGTTCACTTAGTTCTGTTCTGTTCAACAAGTGGCACATATTTGCTGGAATTACACCATGCGTTTTAGAAACGCGCCTAAGGTTTTAACCTCGTTTGAAAAATAGGTGTAATCCCGATTGCGGATTTACAAAAGCTCTTTTTCAAAACCTCTAGAACCCTTAAAAGACACTAGAAAACGCTTTAAATCGTTAAGCGCTTCTGGAGTGTAGTGTAATACCGATCAGTTTTTGTAAAACGCCTTACCCAGGTTTTTACCATTTGCCCTTACCGAGATAAGACGTATTTCGAATGCTACACATTTGGGCAACCGCAAAAATACAGGAAATGATGGATGGGACCCAAAAATGCAATAGGTCAAATCGCAAAAATTGAAAGTAAGTTCACATCACTGGCAAAAGTCTTGGTTACGTTTTCTCTTAGATGTTAAAAGAATACATTTATTGTAGATGTACACATCTGCTGGATATTCTCCATATCTACATCGTTAAAAGTGCACGAAAGGCGTTTTAGAAATGACAGGTGTAATTTCAAAATAAAATTCCTAAGGCGCTTTAGAAATGTTGGTGTAATCAGGATGGCGGTTTTGTTAAGCGCTTTCTACTGAAGCGCTTTTAATGTTTTTTTCAGGTCTAATTCCAGCAATTGTGTGAATCCCATTTCCTTTTTAAAGGATGAATCCTTATTTGTGGAAGCTTTTGTCGATTTCACTGTTATCTTCTGCATGTCTTCTGCATGTCTGATATTTCATGAATAGACAGCTTGATTTAGGTAGATCCCCTAATGTCATTAAAATGAGGCCTTTAGTAATCTGGTCAGGGTTCATTATAAATTGAATAGTCTGTTGGGGAAAACAAGGATCTCTCTGGTATACTTATCTTGTAAAACATGAACTCGCCTTGACAGATTTAGAGATCATTAAATTTGCCTTTTAGCTCTTTATGGTCAATTAAAGTCACCTTTGTTGCCTAGCTTCCAAATTATTATCCTATCATAAACAAGTTATAGAGTTGCCATTTGAACAGTAAGGCTAATTTTTTTTTACAGTTTAAGGATCTCCTTTAAATTACTCGGGGTGGAAAATTTTCTAAGAGGCTCCGTTAAGGAAAAAATGACTTTATGAGCTGGATGGAATTTCTGTGTATTTTTTATTCTATTAGGGTGTCCTGCATAAAGGATTTCGCCTGCGAAGCATATAACTCTTGCGAACATATCTAAATACTGGTCCGAAGAAGACATACCTTGAATTTTTTAGAAAAAATTGGCTAAAAATGGAAACTACAAGAAGTCAAAATGTTCAACTCAAACAAAGTTGTAGCTATTCTATATCAATATTTTGTGTTATGTAAGGTTTCTCAGATGTTTCAAGACCTTCATTAGTATACTTGTGTCTAGAAATGTGACATTTAAGGACAAAATTTGGCTTTTTTAATCATTTTCGCTTTCAGCATTAACATATAGTTCCTTATATCTCGAGTTTAATGCTGACTGGTTGTTGCATTTTTGATTAAATCTGTGCTTGTACATATGTTCTTCCATTTAAGGTGTAGAAAATGTATAGTGGACAACCATTGTTCATATGAGAGCTTTCAGATCTCCCCTACCCCATTTATTATGGAAAATTACCGAAAAATATGAAAAAATAAAATAACTTGAAATTATAAACTTTAACAAAGTTGTAGCTATTCTATGTCAATATTATGTGTTATTTAATGTTTTTAAGATATTTCCGAACCTATAGCGGTATACAAGTGGCTAGAAATGAGACATTTAAGGACAAAACTTGGCATTTTTTTTATCATTTTCGCTTTCAGCAGTAATATATAGTTCCTCATATCTTGAGTTTTATGCTCTCTGATTGTTGCATTTTCAATCAAATCTGTTCTTGTGCATGTCTTCTTCCATTTAAGGTATAGAAAATGTATAGTAGACAAACAATGTTCATATTAGAGCTTTCAGATCTCCCCTACCCCATCAATTATGGAAAATAAACGAGAAATATATAAAAAAATAAAATAACTTGAAATTATAGACTTTCATAAAGTTGTAGCTATTCTATTATCAATATTATGTGTTATTTAATATTTTTAAGATTTTTCAAAACTTTTATTGGTATTCAAGTGGCTAGAAATGAGACATTTAAGGACAAAACTTGGCATTTTTTAATCAATGCTGCTTTCAGCAGTAACATATAGATCCTCATATCTTGAGTTTTATGCTGACTGGTTGATACATTTTGGATTAAATCTGTTCTTGTACATGTTTTATTCCATTTAAGGTACTGAAAATGTATAGTAGACAAACAATGTTCATATTAGAGCTTTCAGTTCTCCCCTACCCCATTTATTAGGGAAGATGACTGGAAAATATAAAAAATAACTTCAAACTATCAGTATAAACTTTAACAAAGATGTAACTATTCTTTATGTGTTATTGATTGCTATAATTAATGTTTCCGGACCTTCATTAGTATTCTAGTGTAGAGAAATTAGACATTTACAAAATTTGGCATTTTTCATCATTTCCACTGTTAGCAATAACATATAGTTCCTTATATCTTGAGTTTTATGCTGATTGGTTGATGGATTCTTGATCAAATCTGTTCTTTTGCCTGCCTATTTTGATTTAAGGTATTTAAAAATGTATATTGGAAAGCCTGTCATTATATTAGAGCTTACATATCTCCCCTACCCCATTTATTTTGAAAAAATAACCAGAAATATAAAAACCAAACAATTTCAAAGTATAGACTTTAACAAAGTTGTCGCTATTCTAGATCAATACTATGTATTATTTGATATTTTTCAGATGTGTCAGGAACTTCATGAGTATACAAGTCTAAAAATTAGACATTTAAAGTTGAGTTGCAAATGGGGCGGGTATTCTCTATCTTTGTCCATTGGGCTTTTCTGGTTATGATATGTTGCAAACTGCTCATGAATCTATGCAATGTATAGTACAATACTGTATAAGTGGTAATTTTGCCTAATCATTTAATTTGCCTATTGCCTAATTTTTGCCAGGCTCGGAAAATTAAATGTCGGAAATATTGTCTTCATAATGTTATCCAATGGGAAGTTTCTTGTCATTAGGAAAATTAAAATAAGGAAATTGATAAAATTTGACCATTCGGCAAATTAACCACTCGGATTAAATACCACTTATACAGTACTTGGAATATATTTAAAAATAATGGGGTATAGTACTGTGATAATTATAACCAGTGATCAAGCCATATTGGTTGAATTCCCTCATATCAAATGCAATGTTGTCAAATGCTTGGTGATTTCCATATTACACCTAAGGGTGGGGTAATTAGGAAGTTCATGATAGATATTGGGCTTGGGGATATTTTGGTAAATGTAAACATTGTGAAATGAAGAACAGCCAACAAGATGATTTTGGAAAGGATTACAAAATGGTAAAGCTGTCTTTGGTTTGTGAAGCAATGTTACTGTATCTCTAAAATGGGATGAATTTCACTTATGGCAGAGCTGCTATTGAACTTTGCAAAACTGATAGTTGCAACTTATCTATCAAATACTGATCATGAAGAAGTTGACACTCTCCTTATGGCCCATGTCTATTACAGTGCTGCAGACAAGACAAAGGAGTTCAATGTTGAGAGAATTTGTATTCAGTCTGATGATACAGAATGTTGCTTGCAAAGAAGGATGAGAGTTAAAAAGAGCTCTTAAAGTTTCTTATGTCCTTCAAGGTAGCATTCTAAATTACTATATGAATGTCAAAGTGCAATACCTATTTGAAGATATATCAAAGATGGGTGTCTTGTACCAGTACTCACAAACAAACCTTCGTAGCAACACAAGAAACATATGTCCTTGGCAATTCGCAAATGTAAAATGGCAAAAGGCAGTGAAAATTGCTATACAAGGTTTCTAGTCAAGGGTGTATTGCTACTTGTCCATGTGGCAATAAACAACATAGTGCACATCGTTGGACAATATTTAAGGATGAGTTTCTCAGAACTATAAAAATTATTTAGAGATCTTACATATCTGAATAGCTTGTGGTGTCATGAGCAACTTAGACCTTTAAAATGCTTCCTAGTCAACTGGTACCCAAGACAAGTCGTACCCAAGATAACTGGTACCCAAGACAACTCGTACCCAAGATAACTGGTACCCAAGACAACTCGTACCCAAGTTATTTCCAGTATTATGGGTGCATATTAGGAAAACAAATTGAGTTTGTATAATTATGTTTTCATGTTATAATGTGACTCAAATAAGCCTCAATATTTTTTTGAATTTAGAAGACATTTTTTCTCAATGGATTAAGTAAAGCATTTTGATTTAACTTGAATCACCTTTTTACTAATAAAACAAGTGCTTGAAGTGCTTGTTCACAACATTTTTTGCCAAACATATATATAAATAAATATAATTACAACAGTGACTTTTCTACAAATGAATATTTTAAACTATTAATCAGGAATTTTGGAGATATTTGAAGAATAAAGAAAGTTCTTTGTGTAAATATTCCAGAAGTTCAATAACTAAGTGCAATCAATATTTTCTAAGACAAGGTCAACAAAGGTGCAATCTGGTTAAGTGGTAGTTGCCTTACCCAGTGATTGGCCCTGTTATAACACACATAAACGCTGGATATAAACATATGATCACCAAGCCAGCCAATTTAAACATTGGACTAGCAGCATAGCACACTTAAACCAATATAAGGCCAATATTAGGAAGTAAACATGGGCACTGAAGGCCAGACAATTAGTAATGACTTGCTTGGTAATACCAGCTCATTATTGGACCTATCAACCAATGAGCCTACTGAATTGCCCCACAATATCACCAATGAATCTCTAGAAACATCTATTAGTAGTGAAACAAACCTAAAAACAGTTGTTCCAGCGCATGGTGATACTGTTACCATTTCCTCACTTGAGGGGCCCTGCGACAGCCCCATCCGTACAACCCCCGCAACCACAGGTAAAAGCCTGAAGAAACGTTGTTCAGACCGCTTACTCAAACGAACAAAATCCCTAGTATCAGGCCTCAAATCTACTCCTGGTCGCACGATCCCAAAACGTCGTGGGCGTCCAAAGAAGACTGAAGACGATTCATTAGTACCACTTAGTGAGACAACAGTTCGGTCAATGCTTACCTCATACAAAGAAACACTTAATCTTTGCCGAGACTCCATAGAGGAACTGAAATGTATGGTCGTAACTATCCAGAACAATAATGCGGATCTTGTTAAGCGACTTGAAGCTAAAACTGCTGACTGTACTGATCTCACAAAGGAGAATGCTTATTTACGCTCCCTCAAAACCCAAATCACATCCCAGCCCACTACCCCTGAGAAGTCACTCCTGATTGGTTCATCCATTATACGTGACATTGATGAAGATAGACTTAATAACACTGACATTAAAAGTGTCAGTGGTGCAGACATCGACACAATACACAAAGCCATTGCAACAATGCCCACCACATCAAAATTCAAATCTATTACTCTCCAGGTAGGGAGCATTGACTGTAGTAAACGTGACAATGTCCAAGCAATTCAAGATGACTATCGCCTTCTCGTAAAAGGAGCCAAACAGAGATGTGACCATGTCATTGTCTCAAGCATCACCCCCAGAGCTGACAACACCGATGCCCAAGCTAGGATTGACCTTGTCAACTCAGCCCTGATGAGTATATGCCTAGATGAGGATTGCGAGTTTATAAACAATGACATTGACTTTAAGCTCAGAGACGGCACAATTAATGAAGGCTACCTGCTACAAGACAAATTGCACCTCTCAGATGCTGGCACCAATCGCCTTGGTGTTAATTTGAAATTGGATGCAAAGTTCAACACGGTAGCCAAGCCCAGACAGAAACGCAACCGACGTAACAGGCAACGCCAACACAATCCTCCAAACGCAAATACCAGAAATGACTATGCCAATGTGACCTCCCAAAAGGACACTATGCCTCATGTAACCATTTTGCCAGCACAACAGTCTAATGCCAACTGTGCCCCCTCAAACATTAACATTAATAATGAATGCTTGAACAATATACAGCATAACGACCAACGGCAGGCCAATAGTGGTCCTATACAAAGTAACACTTGTACCAATACTGTCCGTCCCCTCATGAGTCAATATAGTCAACCACCTAATCAATGTAACGTCAATCAGTCCTCCAACTCTGTTAAGCCTTCTGCAAGACAGCATCTTTCAAAAGGGGCACCTGGAGCATGTCGGAAATGTGGTCTTTCTGGTCATTTGACCAGTACATGCTGGCACCCCCAAACGGTAAGATGCTACTCTTGCAATGGCCTAGGTCATAAGTCTGTCAATTGCAAATCTATTGCAACAAGCAACCGTTACGGTGTTTTAAGTGAAGATAGTGCCTATTACAATAACTAGGATATAGGCAAAGTGAATGCCATCACCCATAACAACAATGAAAGTCCCAGTAGCCATCGTCCTAGAATAAGACGTAGTAAACGAAGAAAACGCAATACCAAAGTACAGATTGCATACAATAATGTTCAAAATTTGGGTCAGGCAAAACAACATCAGGTAGTCAAGCTTTTAGAATCCGAAAGATTTATGGCACTTGCGGTTGTTGAAACCTGGTTCAATGAGAACAGGGATATAAGTGTCAAACCAAATAACTATAATTTCCTGCCAAAAGATCGTAAAGGTAGGGGCGGTGGTGGTTTGGGAATATTTCTCAAAAATGATGTTATATTAATGAATGATAACCTATTAAACTCGAGGGAAGATGAATTTGAACGATATTGGATCAAATGTAAATTGAATGATTCTATTTTTAATATAGGTGTTGTCTATTTCCCACAAGATGGCCTCGAAAAAGATAAAAGTGAAGGTTTATGTGATGAACTCATTAGTAACTTTGCCGAGCTGGCCAATATGTCCGGTAGCACTATATTAATGGGTGATTTTAATGGTAAAATATCTCAATTTCGGAGTAAAGATAAATCTAGTTTTAATGGTGACCTCATAGAATTGTTAACTGAGGTAACAGGTAGCACTATATTAAACCTCACGGAACAATGTAATGGCTCCATCACTTGGAAGCGCAATGTATTGCAATCCACAATTGACTATGTTATTGTGAATGACAATACAATGGAAATGTATGATAATCTGCTTATAGATGAAGATCACGAGTTTTCTGTAGGCAGTGATCATGCCACTATGATTGTCACTTTGAATACTGTTCATTGCTATAAAGCTACAAAAAATATCACTCATGGCAACAGATCTGTGAATAAACCCTATTATAAGTGGAAAATCGATGACAACACCGAATGGGACATATTCCAGTCTAGTCTTACTGACATTTTTAATAATTGGAATTCCTCAGATTTTATTGATGCCAATTCAATGTGGGAAAACTTTAAGTGTTCAATTCTAGCAATGGCTGACAAGCACATTGGCTTTAAGAAATGTTCCCCTCACAGCCGGTCTTTTTGGGATGATGAAATCGCCAAAATGATTAAAGATAGGAAACGGGCCAATCAATTTTATAGGTATTGGGAAAAATCCGGGATTGCTGACCCAACATTCTTAAATGAATTATGGGAAATTTACTCTGATAGAAAGCAGAAAGTTCAGCAAAAGATAAAAGATAATATTGTCCAAAACCACATTAAAAATATGACTGCCAATGCAATGAAAAAGTCTAAAACTTCTCGCTCTTATTGGAAATCATTGAAAATGTTCAACAAAAAATCAGATTACCCTATTCAAATAAAGAACCCCGATCAGCCTGATGAAGTTATCACAGATCCCAAAAAGGTATGTGAAGTATTAAAGAACTATTGGGGAAAATTAGGTGAGACACATCGTAACAAAGACTCAAGTATTTCCAACCTTGGAACCAGAATAAAAAGTTTAGAGAAAGAAGCTGGTACTAACGGTCTTGATATTTTTAAGCTTGATAAGGATCTATTTACTCAACAAGTGAAATCTTTAAAGAATGGTAAAATGGGGGGTGGAGACCAAATTGCAAATGAATTTTTGAAATATGGAGGCATTGCTTTATCAGACGCACTTTATAACATGTTCGAATATTTTACTTATACCGAGTCTTTCCCTGATGAGTGGAGTGAGGGAACGCTCATTCCAATCCACAAAGAGAATGACACTGAAAACCTTGACTATTATAGAGGTATTACTATTAATTCAAATGTTTATAAGTTGTATGCATCACTTGTTGAAAAGTCTATCAAAAAGTATATTGAGATGGAAAACAAACTTGGCGACCTCCAAGGTGGTTTCAGGGAGAAAAGACGCCTTGAAGACAATATTTTCATTTTGAAAGGTCTTTGTTGCCTTCGTAAATGTAAGGGAAAGGCTACTCATTTAGCTTTTCTGGACGTATCAAAAGCGTTTGACGTGCTAGACCGCGATACATTGTTTTGCCACTTATGGAACAAAGGAATCCAAGGAAAAACTTGGAGAATTCTACATAAATTGTACGCTAATGCACAAAATAAAGTAATTTTTGGTAATTTTGAAACCGATCATTTCGACAGTCAGTATGGTCTCAAACAGGGATGTAATCTATCCCCGACACTGTTTTCTATTGTTATGACTGACCTTATTGATATGATTAAGGCTAGAGGATTAGGCATACGTTATGAAAATGCTTATGTTCCCGCCTTATTATTTGCAGACGATATAGTATTGATAGCTGACTCAGAAGACGAACTTCAGGAAATGCTCAATACTACATCGTCCTTTGGAATAAAATGGGGGCTTAACTTTAGTAAAAAGAAATCCAAGGTCATGACGATAGGGAAAAGAATGAATACTAACAAGCAATGGTTTCTTGGTAATGCTGCAATTGACGAAGTAAAAACATACAAATATCTTGGAACCTTTGTTGATAATCTACTCCATGACACATCTCACATTAAAGATTATGTTTCTAAAAAAGCATGCAAAATCAATTCTTATATGCGATATGTACTTGCCAAACATAACAATGTCAACAGGATCAACTTTGGTCTAAGTATTTATAATTCTATGTTTACACCAGCCATTACACATGGTTGTGGGGTATGGTGTGTTAATAAGACAACTACAAAAATACTAAATTCCCTCCAATATAATGCTGGAAGGGCAATTTTGAATCTAAAGTGTAAACCGGCTACATGTGCTCTTTTGGCAGAATTAGGCTGGGAACCATTAACTACAAGCATTGAAAACAAACAGATCAATTATTTTAGCTACCTTGTAAAAAATGATAGGAATGATCTTTTAAACATTGTTTTTCAAAGTATGTTAGAACACCATAGGCTTAATAAAAATTTGTGTTGGCCATATATGAGAAACATCCACTCAATTATGAAAGATAGAGGACTGGATGATGTTATGTTCAGACCTAACACTTCCTGGATGAAGACATATAAAGCAATCACAAATAGCCAAATGAAAACTGATATATTTGAATTAATAAACGTAAAATCCTCACTAAACGTTTATAAACATGTTAAAACGAATTGGGGTCTTGAACGTTACATGCACATTTCAAATGATTTTAGACTTGCTGTTTTAAAGTTTCGAGCTAGGACAGGATGTTTCATGGTTGGTGCAGATTTGAAAAGATGGGGCCAAGGTGATGGATTATGCAAATTTTGTAATTCAGGGATTGATGATCTTTCCCACCGCCTACTGTTATGCCCATATTTCACCTCCCATCGTTCTGTCTTATTTTCTAACTTAAAGAGTGCACTTGAAGGCAATAATGAACATGTTTTTAACCATTTTATATCTCTTAATGTTCAGAGTAAATTACAATGGCTACTGGGCAATGATATACATAGTGTATATGGGCACGAGATTGAAGTTTTAGTAGATAGATGTATCAAACAATTTTTATCTAATGCATTTGTTTCACCCTAATCTCAATGATACCACAAAATGAATATGTTTTGTATTTTATGTACACTTTTGTAAGAGCACCCAGTATTGGTGTGCCACCGTTTTAAAGGTGTAATAAATAAATAAATAAAAAAATAAATAAATAAATCAAACAATTAATTTGAGCATTTTGAGAAAGTTTAAAGGAAGTTTAATCTGTTAATTTTTTTCCAATTGGAACTAAATTGGATTATGCACATGCATACTAAGTGTAATAATATATCATGTACCAAAATAATATGTGATATTAATATTATACTATATTATAAATTGTATACTATTATTATATTATTCAAACTATTTTATTGCTAAATTTCATGAATATGACTTCTGATAATATGAAATCCTAGACAAATAGATTATCTGTTTAATAAGAAATTAGGCCCAAGATTTGATGAATCAATACATTTATAATAATACCATCTTCCAAGATGAATTAAATCTGACACTTGTTCCAAACACTCATAAACATACAATATTTTAAAAAATGATTATGAATGTGTGGAATAAACATATATCTCTTCACTCGAACATCCAATATAAAATAATAGTCAAAATAAATTGACACTCAAAGCTCAAAATGTTACAAAATTATATCAATTTCTTCTGAAAATTCTTCAAACTTCTGAACAGTATGTTACAGTTATAATATGTATATCTTTACACATTCCCAGTCCAACACTTGATTCAAAACAAAATATATGCTTGGGTACGACTTGTCTTGAGTACCAGTTGACCAGTTACCTTTAAAATGACTTAAATGCAGCTCTAACATAGAACCAGGGAGATTTGAAAAATCAGGCTGTTGCTGGATTAAGTTCGAGAGTTGTGAACAATCATGTCTATATAAAGACATATCCTTTGATTCATATGAGAGTAAACTGCGAAATTACAAAATTATTTCGCACTATGCTATTTTTGAGTAATCTTTTAAAAATATAGTAGTGTAGTAATTTTATCTCTAATATGTATATTTGTGTTTAAAACACATTTTCCATGCTTTGAAGATAACAAGACACATTGTTGAATATATATGATCTAAAATATGTCAACTAATCACCATTCAACTGAAAATATAAACAACTATTGCTGAAAGTGAAACATTGGTCATTTTGCCCATTTATGTGTCAATTTTTGATTTTAGTGTGCTAATAAATATGCTAAACTTTTGAAAAGTTTAAGAATATAATCATGCAATAATAACATTTGTGTTGGTTTTCTCATTTAATGGTGGAGGGCAGATCTTAGACCTCTAATAAAAACATTCGTTGTCTTACATACATTTTCTTTAAGTTAAATCAGAGAAGACAGATTCAATAAAAAACATATATGAATCTATCATCAAAGAATTATAATTGTGGAAAATTATATGCTACTGCTAAATGCAGAATGCTAAAAATGCCAAATTTTAGACACATGTAATCAAATGAAGGTTACATTAAATAATACATAGTATCGATAGAGAATAGCTACAATTTTGTTAAAGTTGATGATTTGAAATTACTTTTTCATTTACATAAATGGGGCAGGGGAGACATGAAAGCTATAATATCAACATTGGTTGTCCAATATACATTTTCTATATCCTAAATGGAAGAAGACATGTACAAGAACAAATTTGACTAAGAATGCACCAACCAGTCAGCATTAAACTCAAGATATAAGGACCTATATGGTATTGCTGAAAGCGAAAATGGTCAAGAAAGCCATGTTTTGTCCTTAAATTTCTCATTTCTAGGCACTAGTTTACCAATAAAGGTTCTGAAATATCTTAAAAACATTAAATAACACATAATATTGATATAGAATAGCTACAACTTTATTAAAGTTTATAGTTTCAAGTTATTTTATATTTTCATATTTTTCTTATATTTTTCATGATAAATGGGGTAGGGGAGATCTGAAAGCTCTAATATGACCATTGGTGGTCCACTATACATTTT